ATGGGCATGTGCGCACTGCTCATCTAAGAGTATCCGAAAGCCAAGCCAAATAAATGCCACGGCGTTCCAGTTTTCAGGGCACATGGTGGTGCCATCGGCACTCGTGTGCAACTGCCTACCTAGGTACCTTACCTTAGGGTTAAGGTACCCACATAGAGGCGTTGTGTGGTGATGAGAGTTGGCTGTCTTGGATCCTCGATCATTGGTGGGAGAAGTAAGTGAGGCAGCCGGCGGTTCGCCTTGCTGCGCCGCTGCCTAAAATTCTACAAGACCATCAGACGAGCCGTCATCGCGCCTGCCCTGTCGCACCCCAAGGCAGTGGTCGAGTCGGTTTGAGTCTCTCGTCCACTTTCAATACCTTTGTTTACTTGCGGCGGTCTGTCAAATTTGCAACTGCTGCTCAATCGCACTGCTGGCTTTGTCGCATATGATTCTCGCTGACGCGCTGTCTTGCGCTCCCTTTTCATCAACTTGACTGCGGAAGCTACAATGGAATCTACCCCCATCAGGCAGTTGCTGAAGAAGCGCAAACGGGACCACCAGGCGGTCAAGGAACCGACACCACCCTGCGTCGTCGAAACCCTGATACCACATGCAACTGCAGGGCCCTTTCCCCTTCGCAACCATCAGTCGCTATCCGACTGGCAGATGACAGAACCTGCCACAATCTCCCGGAGCGATGTGTACCACGTAGTCCATCCTACCATATACACCGCCGATGTTGACTCTTCTTGGACTCATGGTCTTGTTCAAGAAGAACCAACGATTGCCAACCCTGAGCCTGTCGGATGCGGACCCAGGCCTCTCGGACTTGATGTGTTGAAGACACTAGGCCATGACTATCCGAAAATCAGCACGTACAGTCCCCGAGGAGCTGTCAGCAGAGTCAGCTCCATTGCGCCGTCAACAATTTCGCAGCTTTCCTCGACCGGATCAGGTTCCGGCTCCGTTCTGTCGCCTGTCTGTACAACATCTTCCGCGGACTGGATCGCAGCTGGATGGGATGCCTATTCACGCGGACCAAGCCCATGCGACCAGTCTGCTACCCCCGCCGTGGTCAGCGAGGGGAAGAACATCGACATTATCCCACACACTGTCCAGAAACATTGCCGTCTGCAGTCCTTCGGCGCGCAGTGGCCTTCAAGAATCCAGTCTCAGCAGCAGCAGACTCACACTTGTAATTGGACCGGCTGCAGTCAGCCGAGCTTCTCTTTCAAAGACGGCCTCGCGTGGCACGTCAAACTCGAACACCTGGTTGTCTGTCCTGTCCCTGGATGTCTCGAGGATACTTTACAGAGCGTGAAAATACTCCAATCCCACATCAGATGCGCTCACCCTGCATCTTGGAAGCAGCGGCATGGAGGCGAAGAATCGCCCGAGACACCAAGAGGCATGGAAGATCGAACGACAACAACACCGTCGCCACACCTCCCTAGCAAGACACCTGAACTAGACGTTTCCGCCCAACAACGCAATCGACTTGACAAGGGCAAATGTCACACCCGATCTGTTGATGCGGTGAAGACGCGGTGCCGCGGGCAGTTGTTTGATCTTGTAACGAAAAAAGCAAGACTTAAAGGTTCGTCAATTATCATGTCATTCAAATTAGTGCTCTTGCTGATACGGAAGCGCCAGGCGGATCGGCGTCACCAAATACCCTTCAGAGGCTTGTTGATAATGTGAGCTTCCCGATCATTTGGGAACATGGCGTGTTGCCTTTCCTCATCGAGTTCGTCCCATCATGGTGCGGGCCCAAGCATACCATAAGCATCATCAAGGGCAGAACTCAAGGCACTCGTCGTGTCTGTATCATGACAGAGAAGCCCGTCTCCAGGGTTCGGCGTGTAACAATTGCCGGCCATGTCTGTGATCTTCTTCCGGAGACCCATAAGATGACTGTGAGCTTTTTATTTTCCACCGGTGCTGTTGAAAGGCTTGTCTGGGCACGGGGCCTAGCTAGCGACATGCCAGACGAGACCTGCCTGCCTCGCAACCCATTCTACTTCAGGGAACCCTGTATGGGGGACAGTATTGGCATCGAGGGCACCCGGGCCTACGACGACAGCACAGCAACACTAGGTCCCTGTGTAATAGTTGGGGGTGGTGCCTACTGGCTCGCCAACTTCCATCCGTTCATCAACGCCTTCCATCACACCCAGGCAGTTGCTGTTCAACATCCATCTCCTATGGATCGTGAACGCTGCATGGTAGAGGAGCACGATACCTTGCCACTCGAGGTAGACTTCTCACTTGGTAAGCTGACTGCCACGTCTGGTCTCGACCTGGAAACTACTCGGGTGTCCCACGACCCTTACTGGGACGAGTGTGGCAAGGAGCCCCCTCTTATTGTGACCGATTGGATTCTTATCAGTTCTCTTTCTCGAAAGGCGAACGTATTGCGACGCTTCCCCTCCGAAACTATGCCACTCATGAAGCAGGAAGTCATAAAAGATACAGCCCCAATCACACCAGGTGCCATCGTCTACTCAACAGGGCGGACATCAGGCCCACAACGGGGTCAGATCTGCGAGGTGCCTGCCTATGTCTCAGCTGCGTCCAACGGTACAGGCAAAGCCACCAGAGAATGGTTTATTGAGGAGCTCCTAAGTGAGGACGAACCAGAAGACGATGAATGGATCCGTGGCGGCATGGGCTGTCCAGGCGACAGCGGCGCTGCCATCGTGGACGCTGAATCTAGCGCATTACTGGGCCAGCTCTGGGGCCGAAATGCATACTATGGTCCTGGTCCGCGCGTTGCATACTTTACACCTATTACGGATCTATTTGATGATATACAAGAGCGCTGCGCTCAGCAGTCGAGACCCCAGCTTCCGGCTGATTGCGACGACTGTGATCGTTATCCAGTATATCCAGGGTGTCGACGCTGTTACGATCTTCGAAACTACCTTGACAGCCGACGCAGCAGTCGCGAGTCTTTGAGGAGCATGATTGGTGGTGTAATGGACAGTGAACGTGTCGCACGCGCGGATGTGATGAGCATCACTGAGGGTCCAAGCGAACTGGCGACGCCGAAGGACCAGTCATACTGGCTAAGACATGCTGGGACTGAGGATATCGGTAACAGCTTCCCTGGTACGTCGTACGGGCTTTCCCCTGCAGGACCAGCGAACCTCTTTGGAAGTTTTAGTTTTGCGCAGGTATCCAGCACTCCCAAAGTTTTGGACGTCAAAAGCCCATACGCCACGACGTTGAACATTGAAGAGCCTTACGAGGTATCTGCCGACGTAGGCGTCGGCACTAAGAGACAGGCTGTGGATTTGCCCCTCGCGGGAAGTGCCAATCCCGCTAGCAAGAGGGCCAAGATTCCTCAATGAACCATGAGATTGTCTTGGTTTTGGCTTATAGATAGCGCTGCTCTAGCAAAACCGTCCATACATCAGCCAGGGAAGCCACCCCTCGCCATCTTCTTTGCTCTCTGATCCCGGCGATTGTGATTCGCCTTGGACCCCTTGTTCGCTTCTTTCCTACGCCGCGCCGCTTCTGTATCTTTATCACTTGCCGGACCAGCGACATTGCGGCCGCCACCGCCACCGCCCCTTCCTCGTCCCCTATCTGAGCCGCCGCCTCTACCACCCCGAAAAGATGATGGAACCCCAGGATCTGTTCCCGAATCTTCTCCTCTTCCCCTCCAAGATGTGCTTGCCAACTCCGTCTGGATGCCGGTAAACGTGTTATATTTGATTTCCAGGCGTCGTTTTAACCGTGGGTTTCGACCCAGCATGACAGCCCAGCCCTCGATAGCTTCGTCCGTCATTCCCGTAATTTCCCGCAGTTTGCCGCGAGGGTCACTTCGTCTCGTGCCTGCGTCGCGGTCAAAGACTTTGGAATCAGCTTGCCAACCGCGGAAGAGTGTCTCTTCATTGGCGTTACCGTCAACCTCGTCCTCCCCGCCAGCAGCTGTGTCTACTGCGCCGCCCACATCATCGGCGTCGTACGTATCATCGCGCTCGTCGTCGTCCGAGTCGAAAGCTGCGAGGGCGGACATGATAGCTGCCTTGTTGGGTGCTGTTTTGCGGTCGGCTAAGACGTCGTCAGCAGTCTTTGCTGGATTACGCTTGCCGAAGTGAAGATTTGTCATCTCGCTGGTGAGCTCGTCATCGTCGAATATATTCCGGCGCTGAGGAAGGTTTTGTGACGGGGTTGGCGCTGAGCGCGGGGCCATAGTATTCTCTGGAAGTGATTCGATGGTAGATTGGGAAGATCTTCAGAATGTCAGTATTTGATACATCGACTTGGGATGTGACTGCTCGGCAGACTTACAAAAGCTCGGCACGGTCCGCAGCCGCCAATGCTGGTGGCAGATCGTCTTCGAGAAGCTTAGCTATGACTGTTTCGGGATCCTCGCCGAACTCGTCAAGCAATTTGGCTACAAAGCCGGATCCAAGATCAGGAAAAAGATCCTGGATTACTGCGATTTGGCTCATGCTGTGAATGTGCATCTCCATACCAGCATCGCCTTCCGCAAGGCCCTTCCCCTTATCAACCTTCTGTCTTCTTCTCTTGGCTCGTGGACGCGAGGGGCCAACACCTGCCTTCTTGAAGCCCTGCAGAGTCTCAAGTCTAGCTTTCAATGTAGGTGATAACGTGCCAGCATCTTCTGCGCGTCGCAAAAGGATGGATAGCAAAGGCGTCGCGCTGACAATCTCGGCGACCAGAGAATCATTGACGTTGAGAGGCCCGGAGCGATGCGCCTCGGCGATAGATATGAGTTCGAATAGAGAATCTGCGAGCATGCCCCATCGTGCTTTGCCGTTTCCGTTACTCCCAGTTTCTATGCTTTCTGTGTTTCTGGAGTTGCCGTCTTCCGTAAGTCCAACCAAACAAAGGTATGTCGTTGCGATGATGACTTTCCTGAGCGGTGGATTCATAATCTTGTATCTCGTGACGAGACCATCTAAGAGATCGCTACCTGCCAGGATGAAGGCGGCCACATCACGTGAAGCGTGTATTAAATGATTCAGTCTCGTGAGTGTTCTCTCCAGGGCCACGATGTCGGTTTTGAAGCCCGCATCTAATTGCGTGATAAGGGATTTCTTCAGGGGCGAGAGGCTCGTTTCTAGGACAGCGGGCTGTGTCGAGAAGAGCATTGAAAGTGAGACCGAAATGTGAGCTTTGGTGTAAAGCTTGGAAGCATCGGCGAGAACTTGCCATCTCGTAAGCTCCGGCGGTGCATTAACAGCTATTCGCCTGGCAAAGAGGTTGAGTGTTGAGTTGAGGAGTGATTTTGTCGTCTGTGAGGCACCTAATATGAAGGAAGGGCTTGTCTGCGCAACTTCTTGAACGAATGACGCCAAGAAGAGAGTTAAGCTGTCGGCCTGCGAAATAATGTCATCGGCCTGAACACAATATGTCCGTGTCGATCTGTCCCATGCATCGAGTAGAGCATCCCAGTCTTGCTGACTGAGGTGTGAGCGAAGTGAAGGAGGGGGAAAGGGCGCCAACGGAGGAAGAACTTGAGAGGATACCATGATTGTACTGCAACGGAGTAACCGATGAACTATACCACTGTCATGCACGAGGTCCCCAATTGTTCCCGTGAAGCTCGCGACGTCTATTATATGAATGCAGCTCCAGCAACTCAGACTGACGTCGCCGGATGAATCATCACGATCCCTGTTGCGCGATGTGGACGATAATAGGAAAGATACCTAGGTACAAGCTGGCGAGGATGACCCCACACCAGTCCGGATATAGACTAGCACTTACTTCCCACAAGCCCTACCGGCCCCATAATTCTGTTTGAACTCCACGAAAAAGTTCGCGATTCAGATCTCAGTCCCTTTTTACCCCTCGAAGCTACACTTGCCAATCCGCCTTCATCACTTTGCCGGTACGTACAGCTGTCAAATTAGAGCGCAGGGCCTATCATCAACTCAAGACGCTTTGAGACTATCGACAGAATACTGACATTGTGACAGAAACGTCTACCGTTCGAGTCGTGAAGAGCCCATCCAACCAATACCATCACCATGTCGTACAAGCGTAAGCCGGAAAAATAACCAGGCGTCTCGAATAGCTGACTGACAATTTTTGGCAGAGGAGAAGGGTGCCCCCGGCGCTGAGGTCAAGACACACAAGATCAGAATCACTCTGTCTTCCCGCAAGGTCCAGGCTCTCGAGAAGACCTGCACTGAGCTCCTCGAGCGTGCCAAGTCCAAGGACCTGAAGAGTACGCACCCCAATCTCGATGTCGGACTACGAGCGCACCGAATGCTAATCACTTGCGAACAGCCAAGGGCCCCGTCCGCCTCCCCACCAAGACCCTCAAGGTCACTACCCGCAAGACCCCTTGCGGTGAGGGTTCCAAGACCTGGGACTGCTTCGAAATGCGCATCCACAAGCGCCTCATCGACCTCAACGCCCCCACCGAGATTGTCAAGCAGATCATTGTCAACATCGAGGCCGGTGTCGAAGTTGAGGTCACCATTGCTGCTTAAGCGGTATGGTCCGACTTGTGTAGCACATTCTCGTTCCCGCACACAGCCTAGCTATCTTTACGGGCAACCACCAGTACACTAAGATGTGCTGATGACGGTGTGAAAACTGTTGTCTTCACAGCTGTGTCCTCGTCGTTTTGCTCCAGAGAAGGAGTAGATGTGGCAAATTCGATCCCGGTCGCTGCCTAGCGGCCGCGGAGCAATACAAGAATATTCAAGTAATGGTTGATCAATTGTGATGTCTTATCCATGCCCTGCACCAACCGTCACATGTGTGGCCCGTATAGATTGTCATACAATAGTATCTTGTCCCTGGAGAAGCTCTATGAAACTCGATATTCCCTAACTTAATGCCATCATGCCATAATTAAAAACGAAGTTGAGGATGACGCGTCCAATTTGACCGTTTGTGAGACGCTGTGCCAATTCTAATCTCTACAAGACTATCGTTATATATTCCATAAACATGCTTCCCGCATAGGAGGCAATTCGGGCATCAGGCCTCCCTCAAAACGACCCGTTTGAGCAAAAGACTGCCATTGTGCCTTTGACTCCTCATCATATGCCTCGACTGGGAGCTCAGTGTCTTTGTAGTACGCTGGTGCTCCATCGGGAAACCATATCCTTGTCCAGGACCCGTTGAATGCTTTTATCCCTGGACGGCCATCTTGATATGTGACTGTCTTGCGTTCCACTGTGCCAGCTGACCGTCCATATTCTTAGTGGCGTAAGATGATAGGTTAGGATGCTGTTTGAAGCTTCTGGCGGATATGGGCCAGCGCCGCCGCCGCTGCCTCCCACTGCTGGCTTTGCAGCTTGAACCCCGTTATTAGAGCCGCCAAAAGGATTGGAAGAAGGTGGGTTGCCTGTCGAGCTTGAGCTTGGCCGAATGGGATGGCTTGCTTGCCTGCGTGAAGGGAGTTGCTGCCGCTGCTCCGCTAGACTGTGATGCCAGGCCAAACGGGTTGTTTGCTGCGGGGACAGATGGCTGAGCCGACTGGCCAAACGCACTGGTCGTTGCAGGCTGCGTCGGGTGTCCGAAAGGACTCACTGCGGGCTGCTGCGCAGCCTGTCCAAAAGGACTTGCACCGGCACCCTGGGCAGGTTGTCCGAAATGTATCAAGGCCGTCGTTAATACTCGTCGGCTGTCCAAAGGGGCTCGAAGTCGCAGGCTGCGGTGATGCGCTGAAAGGATTAGACTCAGCAGGTTGGGGATGGTGCGCCGAAAGTGAAGCTTCCTTTGCTGGTTCTGTTCGCTGAAAGGACTTGCTGGCTTGACAGTGCTTCCAAATGGACTTGCCGTGTGTTCGAGTTGGAATTATTCGCCGCCACGCCAAATGGACTTGAAGTACTTGGGTTCCCAAATGGATTCGGCTTCTGTCCCAATGCGCTCGTCTGACCAAAAGCACCAGAGCCTCCCGCTGGCTGCGACGCCTGCCCGAACGCTGGTGCCCCAAAGGGGCTGGGCTTTTGGCCTAGTGCTGACGCCTGTCCGAACGCTGATGTCGTCGAGGGCTGGCCTGGCTGGCTGAAAGCTGGAGTAGGCTGGGCCGGCTGGCCAAACGCCGGCTTTCCAAATGCTGAAGTAGTTGGCGGTGGTTGTCCAAACGCTGATGTCGGTTGCGAAGCTTGTCCAAACGCGGGCGTGCCAAAGGGACTGGGCTTCTGGCCAAGTGCATTGGGCTGCCCAAAGGCACTGGTACTCGAGGGCTGTCCAAAGGTGCTCGCACCAGAGTTATGTGCTTGGCCGAATGGGTTACTAGTGTTGGAGGATGGAGTGTTGCCACCGAATGGAGAAGAGGATTGCACATTGCTTGAAAACGGATTCGAGGAGTTGGTGCCAGAATTGGACTGAAAGGGGCTGGCCTGCGAAAAGGCAGATTCAGCTCTATTTTCCTTAAGAAATTCGCCGGTGGTGCCGCCGGGCAGTGTGTTTTGTTTGCAGATATCGATTCGATTCGGATGATTGTTTCCAGCGGCAATGATGAACTGTATCGCACCGTCGAGATTTCTGACCGTCGTCTGGATCTGCTGCTCGGCCTGTTGATACAATTGCTGCGCTTCGTTGAGCTAGAGACGGTCAGCCAATGCCAGGTCTGTGGACGGAATAAGCTTCGTTCTTCGTACTGCCTGCTGTGGATTGCCTTTGGACGCTGCCAGTACGTGATGCAGTCGCATCTCCTCGAAGCTCTGTTCTCGAGCACTGCCTCCAAATAGCTGCTCCGGTGCGTCCCGGCCAGGACCATACGCAGAAAGAATCCATTGCGGTCGCTCTGTCGTCAAGTCTTTCTCGATAGTCTCTTTGGTCATTGAATATGTGTTTGAGCCTATACTAAATCAGTCATTCTAACCACTGTAATTGTTTCATCGTCAGTTTCTGCTACGAACCATTGTCGCTGCTTCCATTACCGAATCCACCCCCGCTTGACGGGTTGTTAAAGGCTGAGAATCGATTGCCAGTCTGGTTTCGGTTTGTGTTTGGGTGTTCAAAGCGACAGTTCTCTAACGAATTTGTGAGCAATGCGGACAAGACAGGTTTTTAAATACATCGTCAGGAGAGCAGTCGCTCCTGTGTAGTGGGGGACGCACGTCCAAACCTGCAGTTGCCTGCATCCCAAAATTTGCAGACAACCATGGCAAGATCAGAGGAGGCAGAAGTAGAGGGTTATACCCGTCTCGTCGATTTCATTTCGGGCGTCCAGATGGAATATTGATATAATCCTGGTCACGGACTTGTGCGTTTAGCTTTGTTGTAGTGGTGAAGGTCAATAGGTGGATTGGGTTGGTAGGTACGTTCTTCACGCGGTTCAGCCTTTCTTGCTCAGCCTTGCTGCACGGGAGGACGCGTTCTGAGTGACGCAAGTGGAGAATGATACAGTTCGTAAAGTCACAAGTCCTCAGCAGCTCGCACTGTCAGTACTTCTTGATCTCAATACCATCGACCACAAGCGTTCCGATACAGTGCGAGGCAAAAGTAGGTCAAGATTCTATCGAGATGTTTATTACAGATAATTTTCAATGAATCAATTCAATTCGTAAAAACGTTTCTCATATATCAGCCCGCTACACACCGTACACCAGAACCGAGCGCTCAGCTCAGGGCCTCCAGCTGCTTTGTGTTCCTTGGGTACATACCCAAAGCAAGACAATTTTACAGTACATTGACAAGCTGACCACGTTCGTTCAATTTCATCCTAGTCCCGCCTGCGATACTCCACGAGGCAGCCATCCTTAACGCTGGTGAAGGTGTCGCTCAGCTGGAATTCCGACACACGGTGACGTCCATATTCAAAGTCAGGGCTACCCTCGCCAGGGTCCACCACGCCGACAGCCTTGCGCAGGTCATATAAGTACAGAGTGCGCGCCAGCGTTACCATCATTTCGACGTAGGCCAGGCCTTTGCCGATGCAACCGCGAGGACCCACGGAGAATGGGCAGAACGCGCTCTGCGCAGCGGTCAAATCGACCTCGGTCGTGGCGCGGCCCGTCGACGCCCTTGTAGCGCCAACAATCCACCTCTCGGGCTCGTAAGCAAATGGTGACGAGTAGTATTTCTCGTTGTGGTGAATGGTGTAGTGGGGCGTGCCGACAACGGTGCCAGCGGGAATGAAGCTTCCATCAATTGTCAAGCCACCCGGGAGAACCTCCCGGGGGAGCAGACCACCGACAGAGGGCGAGAGACGCATGGCCTCGTCGACGCAGGCGCGGAGGTAGGAGCACGAGTTTAGAGTCTGGCCCTGGTGAATTTCCTCCACATCACTAAACTTGCTGCGGATCTCCTCTGTGGCCTTTTGAAGAGCTGCCGGGCTACGGGTAATGTAGAACAGAGTAGCGGCCATGGCAGTCGAGGTGGTGTCGGAGCCAGCAATGATACTGTTGGCTAGTCAGTTGCCAACGTTTTTTTCAAGCGGTAGGCTATACTTACAGAAGGTTAGATTCGCTCCACAACTCGGGAGTAGAAAAGCCCTGAAT